TTGTGAGATACATGTACATATATACACATTATATATATACACACCAAAACCACATGCTCACCATTGTCCTTGACACTCTTAGCTTGATGCGCGGTGATGAAGCCATGTGCTCGAAACAAAGAAGCTGTCCATCTATACAAAACAAAAAGGATCAGCGACGTCCTCACGCGAACACCGCACCGCAGAATGACAACAGCACCGGTCCTTCCCCACAGAGCCAGACAGATAACTCTGCAACACATGAACAGAAGTCGATGAAATACTGTGCGCTCGGCATTTGCCATTGACACTCTTAACTAGATGAGTGGTGATGACGTTACGTGCTCCAAGCAGTAAACCTGTCCATGTGTACTAAACACGAAGGATCAGCGACGTCCCCATTCCGACTCGCGAACACCGCACCGCGGAATGACAACAGCGCCGGTCCTCTCCCAAAGATCGAGACAAAAAATGATGCACCGCGTTAACAGAGATCGTTGACATAACATACGCTCGCCATTTACCCTTGAGACTCATAGCTAGATGAGAAATGATGAGGCCACGTGCTCCCAATAAAAAAGTTGTCCCTCTATAAAACAAAAAGGCCCAGCGACGTCCCCATTCTGACTCGCGAACACCGCACCGCAGAATGACGACGGCACCAGTCCTTCCCCAAAGACCGAGACACATAAACTCTGCACCACATAAACAGAGGTTGTTGAAATAACATTTCCTCGCCATTTGCCCTTGACACTGTTAGCTAGATTCGTGGCGATGAGGCCACGTGCTCCCAACAGAAAAGTTGTCCCATTCTGACTCGCGAACACCGCGCCGCAGAATGACGACAGCACCGATCCTTCCCCCAAAAAACAAGAAAGATAACTCTACACCGAATGAACAAAGACATGACATGCCGCACGCTCACCCTTACAACCACAACTTGCCCGCCTCGAAGTCCGCAGGAAGAGTGCGGCAGACGCCGTCTGAATGAACTCCCCGATGCTGTGGTCGATGTCATTCCAACCCTCCTCAGATTTCTGCAGCTGCGGGATCTGGATTGTCGTTAAGATGGCGAACCCTCTGCGACTCAGACAAGAAAAAACATGCTGGAGCGTCCAAACCCGTGCGGACTTGTCGATGCCGCAGCTGACCACTGCACACATCCATGCCCAGGATGGCGCCTGGCGTCACGCGCATCAGACAAAAGGCTTGCCGATTTGCATTTGTTTTGTTTGGGAGGCTTGGTACATGTTTGCCGTGTGTATGTTGTGTGTGTTTATGGGAAACCGAAGGGAAACCAAACATTCGGAAATCCATGCATGTATGTGCGTGTGCGTGTCCTAGCTACCCTTTTGGGTGCGCCGAGCTGGTTTATCACCAGCTGAATTGTTTTTGGGAGGCTAGGCTACCCTTTTGAGGAGGGGGGAGGGGTGTTTTAAGAGAAACCAAACAGAAACCCGAATCCATGTCAGTTCATCAGGGGTGAACTAACAAGAAAGTAATGCATTCCAACCCTCCTCAGATTTCTGCAGTTGAGGGATCTGGATTGTCGTTAAGATGGCGAACCCTCTGCGACTCACACAAAAAAACATGCTGGAGCGTCCAAACCCGTGCGGACTTGTCGATGCCGCAGGTGACCACCAAAGGCTTCCGAATGCACACATCCATGCCCAGGATGGCGCCTGGCGTCATGCGCGTTAGACAAAAGGCTTGCCGAGTTGCATTTGTTTTGTTTGGGAGGCTGGGTACATGTTTGCCGTGTGTATGTTGTGTGTGTTTATGGGAAACCGAAGGGGAACCAAAAATTCGGAATTCCATTCATATATGTGCGTGTGCGTATCCTAGCTACCCTTTTGGGTGCGCCGAGCTGGTTTACCCCCAGCTGAATTGTTTTTGGGAGGCTAGCCTACCCTTTAAGAGAAACCAAACAGACACCCGAATCCATGTCGGTTCCTGAGGGGTGAACTAACAAGAAAGTAATGCAACCACCAGAAGGGACCCCCGATTCACAACTGCAGGTGTTATACATCAGGGTCAACATTGCAAACTTGGGTGTGTTCAAAAGGAAACCGAAAAGAAACCAAAATCCGAGTTGGGGGGTTGGATTCCTGTTGTGAGATACATGTACATATATACACATTATATATATACACACCAAAACCATATGCTCACCATTGTCCTTGACACTCTTAGCTTGATGCGCGGTGATGAAGCCATGTGCTCGAAACAAAGAAGCTGTCCATCTATACAAAACAAAAAGGATCAGCGACGTCCTCATTCTGACACGCGAACACCGCACCGCAGAATGACAACAGCACCGGTCCTTCCCCACAGAGCCAGACAGATAACTCTGCAACACATGAACAGAAGTCGATGAAATAATGTGCGCTCGGCATTTGCCATTGACACCCTTAACTAGATGAGTGGTGATGACGTTACGTGCTCCAAGCAGTAAACCTGTCCATGTGTACTAAACACGAAGGATCAGCGACGTCCCCATTCCGACTCGCGAACACCGCACCGCGGAATGACAACAGCGCCGGTCCTCTCCCAAAGATCGAGACAAAAAATGATGCACCGCGTTAACAGAGATCGTTGACATAACATACGCTCGCCATTTACCCTTGAGACTGATAGCTAGATGAGAAATGATGAGGCCACGTGCTCCCAATAAAAAAGTTGTCCCTCTATAAAACACAAAGGCTCAGCGACGTCCCCATTCTGACTCGCGAACACCGCACCGCAGTGTGACGACGGCACCAGTCCTTCCCCAAAGACCGAGACACATAAACTCTGCACCACATAAACAGAGGTTGTTGAAATAACATTTGCTCGCCATTTGCCCTTGACACTGTTAGCTAGATTCGTGGCGATGAGGCCACGTGCTCCCAATAGAAAAGTTGTCCCTATATAGAACAAAGAGGCTCAGCGACGTCCCCATTCTGACTCGCGAACACCGCACCGCAGAATGACGACAGCACCGATCCTTCCCCCAAAAAACAAGAAAGATAACTCTACACCGAATGAACAAAGACATGACATGCCGCACGCTCACCCTTACAGCCGCAACTTGCCCGCCTCGAAGTCCGCAGGAAGAGTGCGGCAGAAGTGCGGCAGACGCCGTCTGGATGAACTCCCCAATGATGTGGTCGATGTCATTCCAACCCTCCTCAGATTTCTGCAGTTGAGGGATCTGGATTGTCGTTAAGATGGCGAGCCCTCTGCGACTCAGAAAAGACAAAACCATGCTGGAGCGTCCAAACCCGTGCGGACTTGTCGATGCCGCAGGTGACCACCAAAGGCTTCCGAACGCACACATCCATGCCCAGGATGGCGCCTGGCGTCTGAACTAACAAGAAAGTAATGCAACCACCAAAAGGGACCCCCGATTCACAACTGTAGGTGTTATACATCAGGGTCAGCATTGCAAACTTGGGTGTGTTCAAAAGGAAACCGAAAAGAAACCAAAATCCGAGTTGGGGGGTTGGATTCCTGTTGTGAGATATGTGCGCTCGGCATTTGCCCTTGAGACTGTTAGCTAGATGAGTGGTGATGAAACCACGTGCTCCAAGCAGTAAACCCGTCCATCTGTACTAAACACGAAGGATCTGCCGACTCGCGAACACCGCACCGCGGAATGGCAACAGCGCCGGTCCTCTCCCAAAGATCGAGACAAAAAAAGGACGCACCGCGTTAACAAGGATCGTTGAACTGAACAGTCCGGCCCTCCTCAGATTTCTGCAGTTGAGGGATCTGGACAGCTCCAGAAGTCGAAATCCCGCCAACACTTGGAGTCACTTCCACTCCTTCACTGGGTTTCAGCACTCCCCAGCGCCTTCAAAGAAAAAAGGCACAGCACTCGCTGGACTGTCGGTTCTGGCAAACCCCAACCCTCTATCCCAGCTAATGTGCAACTTTCACAGCTCTCATACGTCTTGACTCAGAAACAAACCTGTTGCTGCTGCAATAAAAGAGGGGGTCCATAAAAAGAACCTAATTGGAAAGGCGCCGACATCCTCCGCTATACGACACATTGCAGTCGAGAGACTCGAGAAGCGAGTCCTTTTGGCCGTCCTTTTTGAGAAAGTGGCAGCTCGTGGCGCCGCGTGTAGGCACGCCATCGCCAAACAGATTGCATCACATGCTGTCCCAGGGCATGGAGAAGCGTAGCGACTGGAAGCTCTACTAAAACACAGCTTCTGGACTGTGTTACAAATCGATCTTCTGCTTGAGCAAAAAGTTCGACCTTTTAATCGGGGCCGCTTGCTGCCAAACCATTCGAGAGGTGGCCCCCTCAAGTTTCTTCTTCACTTCCACGCGGTCTAAACCCGAGCTCGGACAAAAGCAGACAAGGGTCGGCGGCACAGGGCGGCAGCCCTTAAATTTGTTTTCTTCACTGCACACAACCTTGATTTCTGAGGCATTCTTGGCAAAGTAGGGCAGCTGACCGGGCAACCAAACAAATGATTTGCCGTCACTTTCAACATCAAGACCAACAGATCTCACGATTGGGCAATCCTCAAGCATGTAACAATTGGCAACACCCCAACCATTCATGTGCAAATTGAGAGTATCGTTCCCATACTTGGTGCCCCCCCCTGTTGCGAAGGCAATGGGGTCTGACGAGGCACCAATGCATGAGTTGTACATGGATGACGGAATGCCTTGCGAACCCAAGGCTTTACTGGAGGCCAAATGCCTCCCAGCGCACGTATCGGCTCCCCACTCAACGGTGACAGCATTGGCGGCCTGAGACACTCCCGCCATGGCGGATGCAATCATGGCCACAGCGAATGCTGGCATCGCTTTGGGCTTTGGCTTTGCTGCTGCAGGCTTAGCACTAGGCTTGGTGCCAGTCTTGACATGAGCATATTCACACTTCTCCCCATGATGACATCCACTGTCCATCTGAAAGAAAATGCAAGGCTTTTGAGCCTTTTGCTCTTTAGTCAAGGGCGTGCCTTTCTTTCCTTTGCCCTTTCCCTTCTTCTTTGACGGGCTGTCATCCCCGCCCTTCCCACCTGGAGGCGCATAAGCAGCCAAGCCAGAGGGCAAGGACGGAGGCGATCCTGCGCCTTTTGGAGTGGGCGGTGACGGTGATGGGGTCTTTGGAGCCGGAACCCCAGAGGCTTTTACACCAGGGGACATCTTACGAAAGTGATCTTGAACATCTTTAGCATTTAGATCTTCACGTTCATAACTAAGGGTGTCCTGGAGTTTACTCCACAGGAAGTCAAAACCACGCATCGTGCTGTCCTTTGGGGAATCCTTGATATTCTCAATGTGGCGTTCGAGCTTCCTGAAGTTCCTGACCTTGCTGAACAACCATTCCCCAAGAAGGCGATCTGATGGGAGCTCATCACTGGGAACAGCTGACATTGTCTGTGTGACTTTGCTGGCAAAGTCTTGCACCTGAGCAACCCCAAGACCCGCAGGTTCCAAGGAAAGCAAGGCAGATGCAGTCAACATTGAACCTCGCGCTCTATCCAAGTCAAAATGCTTAGCAATTGTAGCAAGGATGAATCTACCACGGGGTGCCTTCCCATCACGTGTGCATCTCTCGATGTAGCCATTCACTTTGACAGCAATGCTAGGCACTACTCTCAAGCACCTTGTGGAAGTCAATTCGGAAGCAAGCCACCTATCAAAGCGAGGGAACCCATCACTTGTTTCATCAAGGTGGTTTAGATCTCCGGAGAAAGACACGTTGATCCATTTTGTGATGGCATCGGTACCACTGGTGTCACACTTGGCGCAGGACAGGATAAGTGCATTCTTCCATGACCGGAAGGCCGCAGCGTTATCTGGGATCGGCTCAATCTTCAAATGCTGAAGAACCTTTGAATCAATGACATCCCGCTCCACAATTGAAGGAATTGAACTTCCAAGCGCATGCGTGGGAGGATCTACCGATCTCTTTTGGATATTACTAATTTGGGTTGGAACCGCGCTATTTTGGCCACTGTTTTCAATTGCATTGATTCGGTCTGACAGCTTTGAGATGGCTTCCAGAATTTGGCCAACATGAGAACCGTCCGCAAAAGGTTCGTGGGCATCCCCGACCGTTTCAACAGGCGTTTGGGCATCTACCGGAGGAGTTGCGATCGAGAACACTTCAGCCGAGTTGCCCCCCTGAGCATCCGCGGCGCGTGTAGCAGCCAAACGGAGCCGGGAGATCTCGGCCTCACGGGCTTGGATGTGTCTCGATGCTTCTCTCTGCATTTGTTCCAGCCGTTGCCCTAGCTGTTGATTGTCGCGTTGCAGACCTTCAACCACGGAAGAAAGTTGCAACACTTGGTCCCTCAAACCTCCTATGGTGGATAGGGCCTCAACATACCCTTAGTTCTGCATCATCGGCTCTTTGCGATTGCTGGTTAGCACTTTCGACAGCTTGGCGTGCATGTTGAAGCATGTCAGCTACCGCTAGTGGGTCTACACCAACGTTCACTTGCGCATTCACAGTCTGGAAGAGATTCTGCTGAGATTCATCCCTAGTCAAATGCAGCTGTTGCACGTGGGTTGAAGGTTGACTAGCAGCGTCACGATCAGGAGTTGCAACAGAGGGATCCACGACATCCGTGTGACCAGAACCAATTTCAACAATCCCAGCTTCCCGATTTCCGTACGGGCTCCCTGATGAGATTGAACGGCTCCTACTGGATGACCTAATCGCCCCTGGCATGGCTGGCACTGACCTTGAGCTACTTGACAACTCCATGCTGGTCTCTTCACTCATTATGGAATACCTGATTTAGCTTACTCACTTAGGGAGGCTAACACAGAGTGGCAGATGGAAATGATGATGATCGTGCACCTAGATGACAGAGGCGGCAGCACACTTTTGCAATGCAAATTCACCGTAGATCACTGGAAGTAAGCAAGGCAATGTTCAGCCGCTTCTGCAAGATTGGTCACGTACCTGACACTCGGTGCAGTCGGTTTCCTGGGCAGCCTGATCCCAATTGCGGCACCGCGCTCAAACTCAGAGAACTCTTGAAGGGCGTCACTCCCGTCGTCTATCAAGATCAGCAATTCCGCCCTTCAAATGCCCGAGCGACCTCCAACTTTCCACCAGATCCAGATCTCTCCGGAGTGTAGATCAAAAAGTTGAAAGGCGTCCTTCGCTCCAAATGCTCGGCAGCGGCGCGTGCTGGTCCGTAGTTGCTGTTCCCATGAATTGTACCAGAGCGGCGATCCTTTGGAATATATGAGAGCTGAGCCAAGAAACAATTCTCCGGTAGCCCTGCGGCAATGGTGTTCAGAGCACCAAGAGTCTGATCACAAAAGGATCCGTCCGGCCTGTTGTAATATCGCTCCCGGGCTGACACTCTGAAACAATCGCTCACTTGATGATAATCCACAAAAACAATCGCCCGTGCGTCCTTTGCAATTGTAGCTGCTCGAGACGGAGGAAGAGGACCAGGACCCCTGCAGAAGTGAATCAGAGCCTTGCTCAAAATCCGTTCACGCTCAGCCTCCGAGATTGACGGAGGACGCGCAACTGCTAAAGTCTGTCCAATATTCCCCGTAGGCGCTGTTGTATGTGGCCTGAGACCGCTGATGGCTTGAGATGCCTTGGGCCTTGATCCCACCTCAGAAGTGGATGGCGAACTCCTAGAGCCCTGAAACCAAATCTGAGATGTCCTGAATGAGGAACTCGATGGTTCAGCCCCCCTCGCTGCAGCCTCCCGTTCCAAAAGCTTCCTGCTCTTCGAAGGTCGCGAAATGCGAGATGGAGGCGCAACCACCGGCGCTTCACCCTCAGACTCTGATGATACCCAAAGCTCCGGTGTGCCAACAGGCTCTGAAGGAGGAGGATCTTCACACAGAGGCAAAGGCAACCGCCATGGAAAGGTGTCTGCTGATTGAACCGAAAAGTGAGCTCCCGAGCTTGCAGAATTGTCAAACGTCGGCAGGCCCCGCCGAGACGATGACGAAACAAGAAGCTCACCTCCTGTTCCCAAGTCAACAGCAAACTCCTCCGAATCCGCCAAACCTCCTGCAGCTGGGGATGCCTCCTCCTCGATCACAATCTCTTCAAACTCCTCTTGTTCCTCACCCCAGGAAGAGCTCGTGCCCAGCGGCCTGTTCGACCCGTCCGCGTGGACCACCAGAACCTCTTCCCTCGGAGTTCCTTGCGCAACCTGATGAGAGACAAAAGCGTCGCGACGTCTCCTCGCCCCTTTCCCCGACCTGATGCCTCGGGTGCGGGCGGGTCTCTCCTCGTCAGCCGTTGTAACTGCTAATAAGGTGCGCGATCAGGTAGTCCGAGCCTTACGGCTGATAACCAGTTGAAATGCCCAAAACACAAGCGATTCAAGTGAATCGAGCAAATGGCGCCAGCGAGTGCAATCACGCTTTTCACTCAGCCTTGAGCCAAATGTATTGGCAATGGAATTCTCATGCACTACACCCGAAGAGGAAGTTAAAAGGAACATAACCCCTGAAAAGTGGGTTTGTTCAACTTTGACGGCCGTCCCAATTTTACACACCAAAGGTTGTAGATGACCTCACATAAAACTCTCGCAAAACCGAGGTGCTGTGAGGCTGGCCAGGAGGGCTGGCTTTTTGCCCATGCCTTGGCCAAGGACGCTGAAATAACCCTCCATACCCCAAGCCATCGTCCCTTACAAAGTTTTGGACGGTTGAAGATTCTACATCCAACCGAAGACACCAATTCATCCGAAATCAGGCACCCGTCTTGGTTTTCCACGCTTGCACTTTTTCTAGCCGGGGGGTGCAAAGTACAGGAACGGGGGTATGCGCACAAGGAGCCCTAATTACGTTGGAGTGGGGTGTACCTTTCGGTTGGTGAAGTCCACCAGGCCGCGAACATCGAACATGTGGAAGGCCTAGCAAGCCAACCTTTTGTCCTGAGACCTGAGCCCAGGATGAGTTGCACCTCAGACGAGTAAGGAATGCCTAGACATACATGACCAATCAAAACAATGACCAGTTTTGCCCCAAACTCCAAATTGCTGGGAAGATGCTATTTGAATTTGCCTTTCCATTTGATCTTGCTTGCCCCCAATCAAAGTCGTCCAACGACTAAGAAATAGCATTCAGACTTCATTGACCCCCGCACACAGTCTCTCCGCATTACCCGACGCCCAAACTTGCTGGGCAGTAACACTTTACAACTCCAAACCCTCTTACAATTCGGCAAACAAGCTGTTTGCTGTTTGGTCCCCGGAAACTTTTCCAGGGTTGCCAGCAAACATTCAAAAGTATTAATTCGTAGCCCTCCCCAATTGGCATGGCCCTTTGGAGGGATCCGGACAGTCTCAGGCGCCTGGGCTGCTTGAGCCGAACCAGCTGGCACTTGGGGAAGCAGCACCCATACGGGGGCTGGCCTGGAACGAATGGCGTGGGTGATTAATCCAGCCCAGGGGACCCGCCAACACAAAATGGAAAAGGGCGGAAAGGGCGGGTTCCAAAAAAAACGGCTGCCAAAGTGACACTTCGACCTTTGTAGGCGCATTGCACCTTGAAAAAGACGGCAATTTTGGTTTGCTGCGCCGGCAATGCGAAACACAAGCAAACAACCACCTCGACGCATAGCAAAAAGACACAGAAACAACACAAACACATGGACACACACACACACACACGCACAACACACACACAAACACACACACAACACACACACAAACACACACACACACACAACACACACACAAACACACACACACACACAACACAACACACACACACACACAAACACCACACACACACACACAAAACACACACAGCACACACACACACACAACACACACACACAACAAACACGACGCACACACACACACACAACACACACACACACGACACACACCCACACACACACACAGACACATCACACAACCAACAGCGCGCGCACACACACACACACGGGCACACACGCGGGCACACACGCGCGCACGTGCCTGCACACGCACGCACACGGGCACCTGCGCACACAGACACGTAGACGCTCAGACGAGACACACAGAGATGAGACAGACGCAAAGATAAAACAGAGACACACACACACACACGGGCACACACGCGGGCACACACGCGCGCACGTGCCTGCACACGCACGCACACGGGCACCTGCGCACACAGACACGTAGACGCTCAGACGAGACACACAGAGATGAGACAGACGCAAAGATAAAACAGAGACACACACACACACACGGGCACACACGCGGGCACACACGCGCGCACGTGCCTGCACACGCACGCACACGGGCACCTGCGCACACAGACACGTAGACGCTCAGACGAGACACACCTGCGCACGCACACGGGCACCTGCGCACACAGACACGTAGACGCTCAGACGAGACACACAGAGATGAGACAAACGCAAAGATGAAACAGAGACACACACACACACACGCCTCAACATGCGGAGCAGGTGTCGCTCTCGCTCGCGCAGCGCATGGCAACTGTCAAATTTAGTTCCACCATTGTAACACTTAAAGGTAGCGCGCCCCGTTGCGACTTTCTGAAGGCTCAAGGGGCAGCCTGGAAAGGTTCCTGCAAAATGGAGGGTCCAATCCTCCGCGATCGCTTAAAAATGCCACTTTCGCAACGCAAACGTGTGACGAAAGTGTGATAAATTGCCTTTCAATAGCCCCTGCGTGCGCAAAGGGCTCTGCAGAAAAGCGCCGGTGCCACACCATTGGAAGAACAACTGCCTCTGGAATGCACGCTGGCCTTCACTATTGAAGGCCATTTGATCTTTCTTACAAGGCAATCAGTGCTCACCTTGTCCCTGCCTGAGAGGCGTTGTTATCGTCATCGGAAGCAGGAATGGTCTCCGAAACTGACAGCTCTGAACTCACCAAAAGGTTGCCGTCTCCCATGCTCTCGCTTTCCACATGCCTCGGCCAGGAGAAGCGGCGCACGAACCAACAAATGGTCGGGTATGAGTATCCGAGTCAAGCTTCAACTGTTTGGCGTTGAGGCTTAGCTTGCGGGGCTGCTTGGGTTGAGGCTCAGCTCCACACTGAACCGGATGGGTTTCTGAGGATTGTGCTGCAGCCAACGTAGAGAAGCCATTTTCAAATAGGAAACAATCCCCAACAGGCATAATCACAGGGAGCTCGGCAAGAACTTCCTTGATACTGTCACCGGGTCTCCTCGAAATCTTGCTAGCAAAGGGAACCCAGGCCAC